CCGCGCGCCCTTTTGTGCCCGGGGCGGGGGCCGGGGCCGGGACGGGCGCCCCTCGCGCAGCGCACAAAGCGGGCCCGGGGGCCGCGCCGGGAAGTTGGGGCGCCGCGGGCCGGGCGGCTGACAGCAGGGGCCGCGGGGAGGCCGGCTCCAGGCCCAGGCCCGGCCCGCCGCCTCCCCCGCGAAGTTGCAGGAACTTTCCCCGCGCGGGCCCCGGAGAGGCGCGAGCGGCGGCCCGGACGCCGGCGGGCCCGGCCAGGGGGGCGGCCGGCGCGCCCACCCTCCGTCGCGGCCCCCGAGCCCCGGGACGCGGTCCGGGCCGGGTGGGGTGGGGGGACCCCGGCCGGTTACCCGCACCCCCCGCACCCCACCTCCCCTCCCTCTCCGCCCCGCGGGGGTGGGTGACAGAACGGCGTTGGTGGGGGTGGGGGTGTTGTTGCCGGTTGGTGCCCCGTTCCCCCCCTCCTCTGCTCCAGACAGGGACGGCCCGGGTTGGACTTGACCTTATGCTCTCTGGGGGCCGTGGGGTGGGGGAGGTAGAGCTGGGCCCTGGCCCGCGGCTGTGACCTGGCCCTATGCCCAGTTTTCAAAGCGAGGCCCCTTCCCACCCAGAAGTAAATGGGAAGGAGGAAGAGGAGGTGCCCGCGGTGCCCAGACTGCTCCAACAGGTTCTCACGTGTCGGGGCCTGGGCAGGACGGGGGGCCAGGGGCCGGACAGGGGCTGGCCAGGGCTGTGTGCCCTCTGTGGCTGCTCTTCGGACCCAGCGCCAGCAGGTGGTGGGTGCTGGTGTGCGCTGCTGGGTGGTCCCCAGTCCCCAGAGGAGAACCTCCCACTCATCTGAAGGGTGAATGGGCTGGTGGCCCTGCCGGTTCCCATGTTGAGAACCCAGGCTGCCCAATGGGACAGGAGCTGCCCAGCTGGGTCAGCGCCAGGCGGGGTCCCAGCTCAGTGCTGGTGACAGGGACCCCGTGAAGAGGGGTGGGACTGCTCTGGGCAGGGACATCTCCTGAAATCCCCTGGGCCTGCGGGGCTGCCTTCCTGTCTGTGGATGCCCAAGGCTGCAGAGCCTCCCGGGGGGGGGGGGGGGTTGCTGAACACAGGACCCTCCAGAACAGTGCAGCTGCGCACCCACCCCCAGCGCCTGCTCGAAGTTCATGGCCGGGCCAAGGGTGAGAGCTGCTGTCTGATCCTTCAGGGCTGCTCAGTTCCAGAGGTGATGGCAAGCTGACCCCAAGCGCCCTGCATGTGGGGGGTCCTCCCGTTCTTCCCCCACCCCACCCGGGGCCTGCTGAGCTCCCTGGGTGCCCAGGTTTGGGGAAGGCCTGGGAGGACCTTGGGCTGCTGAGGGGCCTCCTCCACTGGGTTGGGAAGGCAGGTGAGGTCTGAGCTAGACTTTGAGACTTGGTGTGAAGGGCAGGCAGTGGAGAGGGGCTGAGGGCTGGCGTGCCTGGTGGGCGGCATTTGCTGGACTGGCCAGGGCAGAGTTGGGGGAGAGGTACGTTTGGGTAAGCCTTATCTCTTTTATTTCTCAGTTCTCAGTGGAGGTCTTTGATTTGCTCCAACGTAGGCACAGGTCATTTCATCAGCCCAGATTCATTTCCACCCACATGGGGTGGCCCTGGGGTCTGCAAGGGGCTGTGTTTTTCCCCCTCTGTGGGCACATTTTCTGTGCATCTAATCAAGGGCTCCTTGCAGGAGTGAGCCCTGAGACTGTAGCTTTCCCAGGTGGCTCAGTGCAGGTGCCAAGATGGGGCACGCAGGGTCAGGGGTTGGGCCTGGGCCATGTGTGGCCCTCCCTCCCCACCCCTGCATGGACCCCCCTTCTGTAATGGGAAGGTGTATGATGATCCCTGTGCTGCCCCATCTCCAGGTATTTCTGGCTGACCCAGACTTTCCAGATCCACGACCCACCTGTACTCTTGTTTACTTTGTGTTCAACAGCTCGACTATTTTATTTTATTTTGTTTTGCTTTATTTTATTTATGTTATTGTTTTTAGAGAGAGGGAGGGGTTGAGGGGACTCCTAAGCAGGCTCCATGCCCAGTGCGGAGCCTCACATGGGGCTTGAACTCATGACCTGAGCTAAAAATCAAGAGTTGGATGCTTAACCGACTGAGCCACCCAGGCATCCCCTCGACTCATTTTTTTAAAGTTTAAATACTTTATAACTTTTTATTTTAGAGAATTTTGGACTTAAAGAGTTACAAAAATGTTTGTGTTCCTATAAGCGTCACCCTGCCTCCTCTGAAGTTAGCACCTCCCCAGACCATGCTACAAGCATGGAAACTGAGGCAGAAACATGGGGGCAGGGCTGTTAACCAAACTGTAGGCCCTAGCAGGTTATTTAGCTAGGTTTTCCCTGTGCTGCCCTTTTTCTGTTCCAGGACCCCATGGTGCATTTCAGTCTCCTGAATATTTCTTTTAGAAGGAAACTTCGTATCATACCCTGAAATAGCACATTAGTGTAACTCGCCACAGACAGTACCTGTAAAAATAAACATAACTGTTAATAACAGGCTCGGTCTTGTCCCACCTGTGATCCCTCACGTCTCTCCAGGGCACCTTATTTTGGGAGGACTGGGAAGGGTCTCTGAGGTTACCCACACTCACAGTGGCCCAGACTTTGCTGGGAGGACCGCAGCAGTGTCCCCAGGCTGGGGCGTGGTTGGGGCAGCCCCATTCTAGGGGCAGAGCCTGCTCCCAGGGTGTGTCTGCAGGAAGCCCCAGGCACCCTGAGCAGCCGTCCTGGCATTCCCCAGGGAGGCCTCTCTGCCGGCCTGGGCTGGAAGTGTGGTCAGCCAGGAAGGCAGGAGCCCGTGTGGCCCCCCATCTCCTGGGGCTGGGGCACCCTGTCAGCCCATCCGGCCTTCACCCGCACCGGGTACGTTGCCTCGGAAGCTGGCTTTGACTAGGGAGGGATGGAGTTTGTGACTGGCCACCTTGCGAACTGTCTTGTCTGTGTGTCTGGTAGGCAGGTGTGGCACCCATGGCACTGGGGACCTTTCTCCTCCTGGGTGGGCCAGGCAATGGGTGGCCTGTGTCTTCCACCAGACCCCGTGTGTCTTAACCCCGGCCTGCGGTGAGGTGTGTGGCTGCTGGGGCCGGTCGCTGTAGGGAATGACCCAGCGTCTCACCTTGTCACCACCCAGGTGTGAAGAGTCCCTGTCTCTGGGCAATGGGAATGATTCTGTTAAAGTATCAGACATCCCAAAGCTTTCTGGTCCCCTTTCAGTCCCCTGTTCTGTTGATTCCAAGGCGCTTTGGAGGCATGATCGGTAAAATTGATTTTAAGGAGCTCGGAAGCTGGAGGTGCATTGCGAACCCTTTGGCGATAGAAGTTTCACTGACTTCTTGGTAAATGTTTCTGGGTGTGCGTTCTGTGTGGGATGCAGAGGTTCCTGGGCTCACAAGGCAGATCCGTCTCCTCCTGTGGGGTTTCTTCGACCAGAGTCAGGCTTGCACATGAGGAGCTCGGTGCCAGCCTGGGGGGCCCTGTCTCAGTCCTGAGGGAGCCCCGTGGGGCCAAGACCAGGCGTGGGGCAAGGAGGCCCATCAGCGAGGGCCTTAGGCCTTTGTTATGTCCAGGAGGGGGAGCCTCGCTGGGTCTCTGAGCCCAGGAGTGAGGGGGGAATTTGATAGGGTTCCTCTGCTGTCATGGGGACGAGGGCGGGGCCAGGAGCCCGTCCCCAGGGGAGAGATGGTGGGCATGGGGGTGAGAGGGGATTGGGGCTGGGGTGCGTTCTGGCGTGGATCTCTGATTCCTGCTTGTCTGTCTGTCTGGGCTCCTCCTCGCAGCGGGACCCTGTCTCCCCTTCCCAGGACTGGTTGGCTTTTGTGGGCTCTTGCCATGACCCCCATCCCACCCAGCCATAAGCTTCTTGGGGCAGAGCCGGCCAGGTTCTTCGGCCCCATGGTGCCGGGTGACACTGAGCAGAGCTCCAGGCTGGCCCTGTTGGCCCGCGGAGTATGTGTGCTTGGAGGGAAAGGAGGGCCCACCAGGGCCGATGTTGTAGCCCCCACAACTGGAGTGGGCTGTTAAGTCCTTGAACCAGGGATTCCTGAATATGGGAGGAGATGGAATCGAGGTGTGTTTGACAGGTTTGTGGGCAAGACAGTTAATCATTCTGGAACAAGGATTTCTCAGTGTGTGAGTTTAAGAAGCTGTGAGCAGGTGGGGGTGACGTCCTGCCGGCGTCTAGAAGGCAGAGAGGAGGCCCCTGTCCCTCGGTCCTTAGACTCGGAGTCGGGCTTATTGAGAGTGCCAGAATGTTTGCTTTTACTGGAAGTAGTAGCTGGAAGTGTGCTTGGTGGGAGCCTCTGCCCCTCCGTCGGCGTTAGTCGGGGTCGCTTGGGCTCAGGCCTGGCTGCAGATGGCCTGAGACTGGGCCAAGTGCCCACCTCGGCACCCTGTCCTCTGGGGCCATCCCCTCGCCTCTGTGCTCCGGGCGCCTGGCCATGTGGCAGGGCTTTATCCCAAAAGAACGAGGGGATTGAGGGTAAGTGTCGGCCAGGAAATGGGGTTGTGCTGGGAGAATCCAGCTCCTAAAATTCCTGGTGTGGGAAGAGCAAAGCCCTCAGTTGGCTTCTAACTGGCCGATGTGGCTGCAGCGCCGCGCCCCCCCCCCCCAACCTTGGGCTGCTCTCTGGCATCAGGCTTCGTTGTCCTCACTGGTTCCTGCAGTGGCCTGGCTGGTCGTGGGGCCGGCCACCTTGTCCTCTCACTTCAAGCAGAGAGGGGGACTTGGCTCCTTGCTCCCAGAAGGCGCACACGTTCAGCTTGGGTTCCTCTGGCTCAAGGGCCCGAACGAACACCAGGCACCGACAACCCCATTTGCGTCCATGGTTTCGCAGACGCGCACGGAAGGAAACACCTTTGCAGCAGGGAGTCACTCGCAGCGCCAGGTGGGCAAGCTGGGCTCTTCGCGGCACCCCGAGTCCCAGGTGTGCCTGGCGCCCCGCCGGCCCTGCTCTGAGCCGTGTCTCTGACTCTACCCCTCTCCCTCTCCCTCCGTCTTCTTTCCTGTCCGCCTTGGTCCTCAGCTCTTTGGCTTGATGTGGGAGACCCTAACCCTGGTGTAAAAGTCTGTCCACTTACCCCCAGTGTGCGCGGTCATCAGCAAAAAAACATGGGATTCCAGCCAGTGACTGGCTTTGACCGCAGAACATAAAGACTGAAGGTCCTTGTGGTGTTTGTCCAGGGGAGTGGAGAAACCAGCCTTTTATCTTTTTTTTTTTTTTTTAATTGGGAGTGAAAGTCACACATCATGACCATGAGTATTTTAAAGTGCGTGGTTTATGATATCTAGTGCGTTCAGAATGTTGCGCAGCCGTCACCTCTGTCTGGTTCCCAAACGTTTTCATCACCCAGGAAGAAGACTCCAAACCCCTTAATCAGCAGCTCCGCACCTCCCACACGCCCCTGCAGCCCTGGACAGCTGTCCACGTGTTTGCTCTGTCCCAGTGGATTTCACTGTTCTGGACGTTTCCTACAAATGGCCCTACAGTATGGAACCTGTGTGTGGCTTCTAACACGTGGCATGGTTTTTAGGTTCCTCCGTGCTGTGGCAGGTGTCCGAGCTTCACGGATGTCGTCCAGCCGAGCAATACTCCGTCAGGCGGATAGACCGTGTTTGTTTACCCATTCGCCCGTCGATGGACGTTGGGGTTTTCCCGCGCATGGCCATTGTCAGTGGTGCTGCCGTGAACACTCGTGTACAAATATTTGTTTGAAGACCTCTTTTCGTTTCTTTGGGGAATTACTGTGTCCTGTGGTTATTCTGTGTTTAACTGTTGAAGTGACCACAGCTGGTTCCCACAGCGGCTGCACCGATCCGCATTCCTGCTGCCGACCTGGGAGCCGTCTGATACTGCTTCATCTTTGCTAACACCTGTTATTTCCCGCTTTCTAAATCACGGGCCTCCGGATGGCTGTGAAGTAGAATCTCATTATCGTTTTGATATACATTTTCCTAATGGCTGATGATGTCGCGTGTGGTTTCATGCGCCCGTCGTCCCTTTGCCTTCGTGAGAGAAATGTCTGTTGAAACACTTTGCCCATATTTAAATTGGGTTATTTGTCTTTTTATTGTTGAATTTTAAGAGTGTTTTATATGTTTTGAACACTTATCAGATGCACGATTTGCCAGTATTTTCCTATTCTGTGAGCTGTGTTTTCACTTTTGTGGTAATGTCCGTGGATGCACCAAAGTTTTAATCTTCGTGACATCCAATTTTATGTTTTTTCTTCTATTGCCTGTGCTTTTGGTGTCGTATCTAAGAATCCAGTGTCAAATCCAAGGTCACAAAGATTGGCCCCTTTGATTTCTTCTTAGAGTTTTAGAATTTTAACTCTTCTATTTGGTTTTTGATTTAGTTAATTTTTATACAATTTGAAGTAGGGGTCACCTGCATTTGTTTGCGAGTGGACATCCAGTTGTCCCAGTACCTCTTACTTAGAAGACTATTCTTTCCCTATTGAAAGTCTCGGTAGCCTTGTTGAAAACCATTTGACCTCGTACACGTCTTTCTGGACCCTGTTCCATTCTGTGGTCTGTGTGTCTTTCCTTACACCAGAGCCACACTGTGTTGGCGACAGCAGCTTTGTGGGAGGTTTTGAAGCCAGGAGGTGCAAGACCTCCAGCTTTGTTCTTTTTAAAATACTGTTTCAGCTCCTCAGGACTCCTGGCAGTTCCATAGGAACTTAAGGATTGGCCTCGGTTTCTTGGGAAGGGGCTGTTGGGGTTTGGACAGGGATTGCGTTGAATCTGTAGATTGCTCACCGTGGGTGGTGCTGACATCTGAACGGTATTACGTGTTCTGATCCCTGAGCTCAGGGTGTCTTTCCATTTATTTAGATTTAGGTCTTTGATTTCTTTCAGCTGTATTTTGTAAATCCTTCATCCCTTTGTTAAGCTTATTGCTACATATTTTATTCCTTTGGGTGCAATGGTAAGTGGGATCATTTCTGTAACTTACTTTTTGGATCATTCATTGCTGGTACTTTTACCCCTTTTTTAAAGAAATCACCTTTTAGTGACTGGATGATCAGAACAAGGCGTGTGCAGGACACAGGTGTTCATGTGTGTGCTGGGGCATGCGCACATGTAGCAGCACGCCCGTGGACGTTTTGTGCCTGTGTGTCCACACACATGGGGTGGGGTGCTGTCCTTTATAACCGTGTTTGTTGGGCCTCACCTCTGTCACATCCTGGCATTTTCCATACACTTACGTGGGGACCCCATGCAGGTCTCCACCTCCTTTTGCCTCCCCTTTGAGTCAGCCATGGTGGGGCGGGTCGCGGCCTGCTGCTGGGTTGCGCTGCACGCAGCCTTGCTGACCTTCCCATTGCCTCCAGAGTTGTGGTGATGGGCAGTGCTGATTGGGAGGGGAGCCAACCGAGGCGTGAGAGATCAGCTCACTGAGGTTGACTCCACAACATGATGGGCAGGACAGCAGCACTGTGGCCCCAGAGACGGGGGTGCTGTCCAGGACCCCAGAAGGTGGACAGGCCCAGGGACACAAGCCTGCAGCATGGCTCAGCACTGCTCCCTGGGCTGAATGGGGGCTGAGGACAGTGAATGAGCCCCTGGGACAGTAGCCTGGGCTGTTGACTCAACAGTCAATGACCGTCTGGCACCCTGTGCCGATCTCCCCAGCTGTTTTGGAGTGAGGCTTGTGACAACAGGGACACCCGGGAGGTGAGGGCGTTTCCTGCCACTGGTTTGCACCCAGCCCTGGGCACTTCCTGACTGTGGTCCCTTGTTCTCCCAGTGGCTCCCGAGGGCGCTGGACCTGGGTCTGCTTAGGAGAGTCTGGCTGGGAGAAGGCCAGTGGCCGTGGGTCACCCAACTCCCTCTCTGCTCCAGCCAGTGAAAGCCACGCTGGTTTTGTGCTGTAGGCAGTGAGGATTCCCCGGGTTTCAGACACTGGTGGCGCTGTACGCTGGGGTGCCTCCTCGCCTGCCAAATGAGGCAGCTGTCAGGTCATCAGTGGGCACCTCAGGCCCTGGGCTCTGTTCTAGGCCCTGCAGGCAGTGCTGGGCACTCTTGTGCTGGGGCAGTTGGGTGCTGGTCAGAGGCCACCCAGAGTACCCTGTGTGGGAGGGGAGATGGGTGGGGAGGCACCCTGGGATATGGGCCAGGGGTGGGAGTTCCCATTTTATTTTCAACTCAGTAGGATCAGGACAGAGCGGGATGTTCTCTAGTGTCCATCTAGTTAACCAGATTCTGTTCTATTGCTGCAGGCTGTGGATGTAGGGGCAAGTGGGGGAGAGATCAGAGACCAGCTGCAGGGGTGGGGGGAGTCCTGGTGGGGAGGGGGTGGGAGAGATGGGGGGTGAGTTCCTGGGGGGATATGGGGGGCCCTGAGAGGAGGGAGGGGAGCCTTGGGGGAGGAATGGGGGAGGGGTGGTGACTCTTTGATCCCAGTCTGGATGCTCGTGGAGCAGGCCCCAGCCTTGTGTGGGTGCAGGCGCAGGCTCTCCAGCGCCCCCAGCAGCAGTGGCCTGATGCAGGTGCAGGCACGGGCTCTCCAGCGCCCCCGGCGGCCTGGTGCGGGTGCAGGTGCGGGCACGGGCTCTCCAGCGCCCCCAGCGGCAGTGGCCTGGTGCGGGGCTCTCCGGCGCCCCCTGGCGGCCTGGCGTAGGTGCAGGCATGGGCTCTCCAGCGCCCCCCAGTGGCCTGGAGTGGGTGCGGACACGGGCTCTCCAGCGCCCCCCTCCCCCCTGCCCTCCGCGGCCTGGTGCCGGTGTAGGTGCGGGCACGGGCTCTCCAGCGCCCCCAGCGGCAGTGGCCTGGTGTGGCGCTCTCCAGCGCTCCCCTGGGTGCCTGGCCCGAGTGCGGGCAGGGGGCTCTCCAGTGCCCCCCCCCCCGGCGGCCTGGTGCTGGTGCGGGCACGGGCTCTCCAGCGCCCCCCGGCGGCCTGGTGCAAGTGCAGGTGCAGGGCTCTCCAGGGCACCCAGCTGCCTGGGCCCCCGCCGTCTGTGCTGCCTGCTTGTGGTGCCGGGATCAGACGTGTGTGTTTTGGGCCCAGGCCTGGGATGCGGAGATGGAAGTGTGAGTGACCCGCCCGGGGCGGGGGTGCGTGAGGCAGAGGCATGACCTTGCGTCTACGGGTGGTGCCATATCTCAGCAGCTGGGTGCGGGACTGGGGCTCCGAGGGCCCTTCACGTGGCTCCTGCCTCAAACGACAGGTGCCTTGTGCCTGACCTTGGCCAGCGGGCAAGTACTGTGTCCCCTCCTGTCTCCCCTCCCCGGACTGTAAAATTTCTGGGGGCCCTGAGGGCAATGCCAGCAGTGACTGGCAGTGTTCACTTCAGGGGCCCCTCTGGCCGGCAGTGTGGGGTAGGGTGCAGACCGCAGCAGGGGCCTGCCCTGCCCACCTGCCCTGTCCACCCCGTGTTCCCCTGCTGCTCCCAGCACTCTCCCTCCCCCATGGCCACGAGCTCCTGTAGACCGGTTGGCGGGGGTTGGTGGGCCGGGAGGGTGCCCTGTGGTCCCCGCCTCCAGTGTTGGGTGAAGGCTTGGAGCAGGAGGCAAGCAGAGCTGGAGTCAGGCTGAGAAAAGACTCTAAATACTTGAAACTGACCCCAGACAGGACACATCTGGAGAAATAGTGTTTGCGGGGGCAGGGTTGACTGGCCGGCGCTCTGAGCATGCGGGGTGGGCCCTGCTCGTTGAGCCATGTGCGGGACACCACTCCCGGCCTCTGTCCCTATCCCGGGGTGCCTGCCTCCAGGTGTGGGGACACGCTGGGGGCACATGCATGCCCCAGGGGGCTGGCGGGCGGCAGCTGAACTTCCTCAGGTGGGAATCGGAGCTTCTGACTTTTCTTATACTTATTTACTGTGATAAGGAATATCTGCTTTTATTTTTTAAAATGGAGATTATGCCATGAAAAGCTTGCCTTCTCCTCCGAACAGGCCAGGTTCCAGCTTCTTGAGAACTCGAGCGGGAGTCCTGTTTGTGCAGGACGCACCGCCGCCCCGTCCACAGGTGCCCGGGGCCGCTGCTGTGCCAGACACTGCTTCTTGCGCACCGACCACGCGGGCTCGGCCACGCGGGCTCGGCCACGCGGGCTCGTCCTGCACCATCTGGGTTGCGTCCCATCCTGTCTGTGTCCCGTCCGCAGGCCTTCTGGTTGACGTTCAGCTTGCTTCTCGCCTTGAGCTCCCCCAGCTTTGCTCAGGGAATGTCCTGGCATCTACAGTCACCTGCCCTGTGCAACCACGCCTGTCGGACAAGTTCCATGATGGAAGGGCGGGGTCAAAGGGTACAGACAGTGTTGCAGATTGTAAAACGGGCAGGTGCCTTGTAAAGATCCCCCTACTCGCCGGGCCACCGTTGCCTGACCCTTTCCGTCGTGGTCAGTTCAGTCTGGAAGGCAGTGCGCCTCACTCCTGTGTGGAGGGCGCGCTGTCGTATTTGTGCCCAGTGTGTCCTCCCGCCGTGCCATTGGTCTGCAGCTGCCCGTCCTGGAGCCCACGTCCTCTGAGCCTCCCCTCCCTGTGACTGTGGGGTTTCCCCAGTGGCCCCGTGCTTTCTGACGAAGCCAGAGAGAGCACGACCTGAGAAGTGAAATGAGAGGCAGCCTTCCCCAGATGGATGGGGCGTTCCCATCCCTCCCGCCTCCTGTTGCCCGGCCCAGAGCCCCCCAGACCTCCAGGGCTGGCAAGGGTTGAAAGCTTGCCTGTTTACTAAATAGCCCCTCTTCTTTCCTTTTGAGGCCTGTTGTGAGATCAGGCCTCATTTGCGTTTTTTTCCCTGTAAACTTTCTAATTTAGACTTGTTTTAGGCTTACAGAAAAATTGCAGACATGGTAGAGATTGTGCGTACCCCTGGCTCAGTTTCCCTGACTGTCAGCACCACGTGTCGCCACCTGCCCTGGTCACAGCTCCCTCGGCAGCCACTCCCTGTCCTGGTCCTCCCCGCCTGCCCACCATCCAGCCTCCTCGGCCTCCTGGTCCCAAGCTGGCTTCTCACGCCAACCCCTTTGTGCCGTGATCCTGACACCAAAGACCCTTTGTGGTTTGTGCACCACTGAGGACCTGTGCCCCCAACTCTCGTGTGCTCCCCCAGGCACCTTCACACCCACCTGCTGTGCCCTTGCCCTGACATGGGCAGCCTGATGGCGGCAGTTCCTGGGGCATGGATGCGAGCCCGCTGCACATGGCCCTGATTACACGGGCTACCACATAGGGTCGTGATGCTTCCCCCTTCAAGGATTCTTCCGGATCCCAAACTTGTGTTGTTTATTAGATTTCAATCTGCTGTTTGGAAAGGAAGGATGTAATTAGACTGGTCTTTGGAAGGTCCTTGGAAAAGGCAACAAGAGAGCAGCCTGGGTCCCAGGCTCTGCCTCGGGGCAGGTGTCGCTGCCCTAGAGTGGGGTATGTGAGCGGGCCTGGGGAGCACCAGCCCCAAGCCCCCTCTTTCCTACGGGAGAGGGAGGCTGCACAGCCGTCTGCCCCTCTCTCAGCCGGCGCTGTTTCCAGACCTTGGGGTGTCCTCGCAGAAGGGCTGGAACCCCCGTGGTTGGTGCTGACCTTGGGGGAGGGCCCCTGAGTCCCAAGCAGCACACATCTAAGTGTGGGCAGCCCTGAGCCCCACTCAGGACACCTCCCATGTGGTGGGCGTCTGTCTGCAGCAGGCTGCTGTGGCTGCTTGGCGTGAGGTGGTGGGGCAGGAGGAGGCAGCCGGTGTGTGTCTCTTCTCACTCTCGGGACTGCTCCGTGAGCCAGGCAGGGTCCCCGAGTTACAGATGGATACTGATGCTCAGTGTTCCAAACACACCGCTGGGCTGGAGGCAGCTGAGCACAGTCCGTGTCCTTCCCTGAGCTCCCAGCCGCCGGCCACACCGGCCGCTGTTGAGGTATCTGTGGTACGTCGTCCCTGCTCCAGGCCCCACACCCACAGTCGTGGCTGCTGGGGGTTCGCTGGGGGTTTTGGGGTGAGGCCCTCCAGGTTTCCATGTCCCAGTCTTTGCTTTTCTTGTCACGTGTGGTTAAAAACAAATGGCAAAGAACAGGTCCTAGAATGTTCCAGCGGGACAGGACCTCCAGGTGCACTGGTTTCTGCTCCTTCAGATGCAGCAGCCCTGGGGACCACGCCACCTGTCACTTGAGGGCTGCTCCCTGCTGTCAAGCACAGAGCTGGCCACCAGGGCCACCCCACATACCCTCCAGGCTGATGCCCCCAGGGGTGCGGTGGGGACTGAGGATCGGGCCTCACCTCCCTTGCTCTGGAGTCCTATTTCTGTTAATATGACCTTGACTGCTTTTGCTCTCTGGTCAGACTTGTCTTCCCAGCCCCCTTGTGGGTCTCTGACGGCTTTAGGGGACAGAGGGCTGCAATTCCCAGAGCTCCCGACAGAGGCATCTGCTCTGCATCTGCACCAGGTTTCCCTAGAAACTGCTGGAGTAGACTCTCCAAAACCTGCTTCTGATTCTTAAAGGGACCGTGCCCTTTATCTGGAACATCTGCTAAAAATCCACTGGAGCAGGTTTCAGAAATGTAGAGAGACGCTTTGAAGGACCCCAGACTGTCAGGCAAGCGGTTCGGGGATGGTGAAGTGGACCACGGTGTATGCGCAGGAAGCGGCGGGTTCAGCGGTGGGTTCACAGGAAAGTGTTTCCGCTGTGACGTTTGATGGAACAAAAAGTGAGTTGGTGTGCATTAGTTGAAACAAAACACACCTGAAGGAAATATGCCAACGTGTTAACAGGGTTGAGAGGACGTGGGCTTCCTTAAGCCGTCCAGCTCAGGGCCCCCCTTGAAGCTGGCTTGTCTGGTGCTCAGCTGTCGGGCTTGTTTCATGGCCTGAGGCTGGCCCAGGTGGCCTCTCCAGGATGCTGCCCCAGGTGTGCTCTGGGGGTGTTTGGGCGGCTCGGCCCAGGAGATGCCGAGGGCAGCGGCCCCTGTGCAGGGGGCTTGGGGTCACTTCCAGGTGACACAGGAGGGTATGTCCCTGGGAAGCTGCCTCCGGTGCCATCCTGTTGGCCTCGCCCTGCCCCCATAGCACTGGGGGTCCTACATGAGCCCCCCCACCTTTGTTGTGTGTTTGCACTTGTGCCCTTGGAAACTGGTTTTACTGTGCGTGTTCTTGGTATGTGTTATTCTGTAGCCTGTTCGCCCCTTGGTGTAGGCCTCGGTGAGCCGACACTGTTGGACACCTCGGTTGTCAGACACCTGTCCCGGCGCCCTGCAGGGTCTCCCAAGGAGAGGGTGGGCCCGTGCTCAGGCCCAGTGCAGTGACTGGCAGGGGTCAGGCGGTGCTGGCCTGGCTGGTGATGGCCGTGCACCCCTAGAGCGGACCCCTCCTAGCAGCGTACCCCAGAGGGACCCAGGCCCGTTCACACTCATTGTAAGTGAGCAAGCGGTGGTGGGGCGAGGAGAGTGGTGTCCACAGCCCAGCAAGGGGAGCACAGTGCTCGCTGTTTGAGGGCGGCTGATGGTCGGCCTGCACCTCACCTTCTCTGCACTGCACCAAGGCATGCACCATGGCAGGCTGGGTGGGGGCCCACCCTTCACGCACAAAAGAGCGTCCCGTGAGTCTTTCAGGGTGCTGATGTGGTAAAGGAGAAAGTAGCCAGCTATGGACATACAGAGTCCATGTTTGGGATTGCTTCTTCTTTTTTTTTTTTAATTCTTTTATTATTTATTTATTTATTTATTTAAAGATTCTTATTTATTTATTTGTCAGAGAGAGAGAGAGCACAAGCAGGGGGAGTGGGAGAGAGAGAAGCAGGCTCCCCGCTGAGCAAGGAGCCCAATGTGGGACTCGATCCCAGGACCCTGGGATCATGACCTGAGCCGAAGGCAGATGCTTAACGACTGAGCCACCCAGGCGTCCCTGCTTGGCACTTCTGAGGGGTAGCTGTGTGCTGGCAGGAGGGTCTGCCTGGCCCTGAGAGGACCCAGAGGGTGGGGCTGTGCTCA